AATTACTATATAGAAACGGTTATAAAAACGAATAATCGCTTTAATATAATCTTCTTTTAACTATCGATTATATAAAAATAAATACTCGAAATTCTCTAAGAATACCGTAATATTTACGCCTTTAAAGAATGAATATTCGGAATTCTTCTTACTTCTCTACGGTATCTTTAATATAATTAGCTTATTTTCATTCTACGCTATTATCGTCGGATTCGATATCGTTATTATCTATATTAATTCTAACGAAGACGGCTATAAAAAATCTCTAGAAGAAGATAAGAATATAGCGGAAGACGCTAAAGAAGTACTCGCAGTTAATCCCCAAAACCTCGATATCCTAGATTACTCCGATGTCATCGCTTCTATACTTCGAAAGAACTAGTCTAAAAGCTCGCGTACACCCCCGATTTCTTTAAGTAATAGTTAAATTAATAAATAAACTAGCTACGCTCCTAGTAAGGCGCCTTCTTCTCGGAACTTAATTTAATAGTCGAATAGATCTCGTTCTTTAATACTTAGTTTATAATCTTTTCGATCTATAAGTGATCTCCGTATACGAGAGAATCGATCTTTTTAATTAGCTCTAATATTACGCGAGTAATCTCTATAGCGCCGACTAAGTTCGCACCTCGAACACTAATTAGCTAGGAGAACTATATTTAACGTAGTAATAGCTAGTCGTCGATAATATCTTCTTTATTTATCTAACCGTAATAATCTAGAATTATTATTACAGCTCTATATCGAATTCTCTATTAAAATATTTCTCTATCTTAAAACTTATTTGTATTCCGTATCTTTTTACTTCTTTTCTTCGTTATTCCGCGTATCTATCTTCTTACTTCTTAGATCTTAGTTCTTCGATGAGTATACTTTTTCGACGACTCGCCTAGAAGAACTCCTAGGCCTTAGAGAGATAATCTTCTTTCTCTCTAAGTTCCGTATTAGACTTTATACGTTATAATGCTATAGCGTCTCGTTCTACTAATCGAGTATCTTCTCTTCGAAAATATCTTCACTATAGTATTTCATTCGCGATTAATTAATCTACTTCTTAAAAGAGTCATTCATCTTAAATTCTCCTTAATATTTCGGTTCTAAACTCTTTCGTAGAAAAGGTTTTCTAAATAATTAGCGAACTCTATCTCTATGAGTAGCCTCATCGTCTTTTAGAGTTAAACCGATGCCTACGTAAATTTTAGTCGTTAATCTCGAACTTCTATTTAGTTGTGTTCTTTACTCTTTAGCATTAACTTTAGTAATTCTTAATGTAGTATCTTATTAAGATATTATCGTAAAGAGCTCGAATCTTCGATGAATAGATCATCTTCCCGCGGTCGCCAACTATAATAGAGCACTTTAGGATTTAGCGTGCACGTGCAACAACGCACAGAGGCCTATCCAGTAGATCGGGAATCGAGAACGCGTTT